AGCAGGGAGCCCGATGTGGGGCTCGATCCCAGGACCCTGGGATCATGACCTGAGCCAAAGGCAGACGCTCAACGACTGAGCCACCCAGGCGCCCCAAGAAACTGATATTTTTTCAGCTTTATAAATTTTTATTTTCAAGATTGAATTACTTGGGGAATATTGTCAAGTATGGAGCTTTTAGAAGGAGATGGAGATAAAATGTAGATAAGATGTCCAGTGAAGTACTTTAGCTAACTAGTTAAATCTCATGATTAGGATAGCCATTCTGAATATGCAGAAGTTGTTTCAAAAGGTAGTTTTGCAAAATACCTTATTTCTTAAGCAATATGATGAACTTTTGTTTTTATTTTGTTTTGTTTTAAATCTCTGATGAAAACTAGGCAGAGAGTTAAGATCCAAGTTTTATAGTCAGATTCTAACTTTTTGTATGATCTTGGACAAATAACCCTCTGGTCCATGTGATAATCATTCAGAATATAAAGTTGCCAGATTAGATGTTTTCTAAGGTATTTTTCAAAGATAAGACTCCTTTATCCAGAATTGACATTTTTCTATTTGGTTACAGGTGGATGGGTTGGAGCTGAGATAGGGAACACCATTGAACGATTTGATCCTGATGAAAATAAGTGGGAAGTAGTTGGCAACATGGCTATGTCACGCTACTACTTTGGGTGTTGCGAAATGCAAGGTAATTGCTTTCTAAAAAATTTTTCCTGAAAATGTATTTTATTTTATTTTATTGTTTATCTTTTGGGGGAAGGGCAGAGGGAGAGAAGAGAATCCTAAGCAGGCTCCATGCCCAGCATGGAGCCCAACACAGGGCTCAATCTCACAACCCTGAGATCATGACCTGAGCTGAAATCAAAAGTCAGATGCTTAACTGACTGAGTCACCCAGGTGCCCCCCTTTTTTTCCCCTGAAAATATATTTTTTAAAAAAACTAAGCTTGGGGGCGCCTGGGTGGCTCAGTTGGTTAAGCAACTGCCTTTGGCTCAGGTCATGATCCTGGAGTCCCGGGATCAAGTCCCACGTCAGGCTCCCTGCTCGGCAGGGAGTCTGCTTCTCCCTCTGACCCTTACCCCTCTCATGCTCTCTCTCTCAAATAAATAAATAAAATCTTTAAAAAAAAAAAAACAGCTAAACTTGAAGCTTTATTTTAACAAAACTGTATTTTATGTCTGTTAGTATTGAGTGCTTGACACTGACAGTATGGAAGTATTGCTTTTAACATTTTATATGTTTTAACCTCTTATATCTTTATTTCTGTATTGCCAAAATAATATTTTTTTTCCAAAATAAACAAAGCTAGAATTAAAAATTACAGATAGGCACAAATACCTGACTGGCAAAATAAGCATTTGAACCTTCATCCATCTTTGTCACTTTCTCTCCCATACAGTCCTTAGTAAGTATTTCTAAGTAGGAAGAGGATATAAAAAACAATCTGACTGTCTCTTCTTTTGGCATTTTCAGTGTTTTCTTACAGGGCACATTCTGATTCAGTCCACACAGAGTATAATGCTATGACAGATTTGAAAAATGTTGTACTATATATTAAAATGGTGTACAAACATTATTTTAATTGTCTACTATACCCTGAGAAGTAGTTGGTAAGCACTGTCAAGTAGAACCTAATTCTTGGTCCAGAATTGGAGAGCAGATTTATATGTACCTGTAGAGTAGTGAGCAGTGTGCTCATTGTTATAACAACTCAACCTGCTATTTCCACCTCAAGTTCTTTCTGCTTTGTGAATACCTTCTCAGATTTCCATTAGCATTTTAATGTTCAAATTACATGGTACAGACTGTATTCTATTGTGTAATGCTATAGTGTTCTCTAATTGTTTTGTATCTATTATTTTTATCTTCTCATATAAATTAGGTGTTCTGAGACTTAGTTTTCAACATAGGGGTGAGGGGCAGTTTCCCTCCTACTAACAAGAAGAGGTTCTCAGAACACCAGCTGGGTGTTGGAGAATTCAACTCAACTCTAACACTATGTACCCATACCTGGAGATAGCATCAAATTCCACAGGTTGAAGCTCAGTCCTACAAGATGCTCATCCTCCCCAGGCTATTACCTGTGCTTCTGATAGACTGGCTATAGATCAGAAGTTCTAATGGTCCCTCCTCTTCAGGTTCAATTAATTTGCTAGGGTGACTCACAGAACTCAGAGAAAATGTTACTACTAAAATGATATAACACAGGAACAGCTAGATGGTAGAGATGCAAAGTTGTTATGAGGAAGGGGCACAGAGTTTTCATGCCCTCTCCAGATATCCACTGTCCCCAGATCTCCACGTATTCACCAACCCAGAAGCTCTCCAAACCCTTTCCTTTTGGATTTTTATGGAGGCTTCACTATACATAGGCATGAGTGGTTAAATCATTGGTCATTGGTGATTGATTCAACCTCTACACCTTCTATCCCCAGAAGTCAGGGGCTGAGACTGAAAGTTCCCACACTCAAATCATAGGTTTGGCTCCTTTGGCAACCACCCCCCATCCTTAAGTGCTTTCCCAAAGTTACCTCATTAGCATAAAAAAAGACAACCCTGATCATTCTTAACACTTTGGAAATTCCAAGGGTTTGGGTTTCTGTGAGCAAGGAATTATGGATGAAGACCATATATAGATGAGAAATAAATAAATATATATATTTTATAATTTAATTTTTTTAAGACTTTATTTATTTGAGGGGTGGGGAGAGAGAACATGAGCAGGGGGAGGGGCAGAGGGAGAGGGAGAAGCAAACTCCCGCTGAGCAGGGAGCCCCACACAGGGCTGGATCCCAGGACCCTGGGATCATGACCTGAGCCAGAGGCACACGCATAACGAACTGAGCCACCCAGGCGTCCCCCAATTATGTATTTCTTATAAATCACAGTATTGTATCTTCTAAAATCATAGAGCTAGAGAGGCATCTTGGAGATTATCTATTTCAACCCCTGAAGATCAGGAAGGTTGTGAATTGTCTTTTCCCATAGCTGGTTACTGGCAAAGCTGAAGCTAGAACCCAAGTTTACTGACATTTAGCTCACATTTCTTAAAATGCCATTCTTTATAACTTATAGCTCCTCATTGTAGATTGTCAGAACCATTAGTTTCAAATCAAATTTAATAAGAAACTCACTGTGAATTATATTCTATTGTAATCTAGTAATTGATCCTGAATACCTTAATCTAGCCATATAACTATTCTAATTTGAATTCAATTCTCTATATCCATTTGAGCAACAGGTAGGCTGTCACCAAACAAGGCCATATCATTCCCAGTTTAAGTGCATGGCATTTTTTTAGGGGAAAAAAAAATCACTCTCCCTTTCCTTTTTTACCTCATGGTAGCAGTGATTCTGGAACTTGAGATCATCAAGCAGACAATAAGATGGGAAACCTTGTCTGACTGTTTTGTTATAGCATTATAAGTCCTTTGAAAAATAAATGTCACTTAATTTTTTTTAAAGATGTATTTATTTATTTTAGAGAGAGAACACGTGCGTGGGGGTGGGGGAAGGGCAGAAGGAGAGGGAGAGAATCTTAAGCAGACTCCATGCTTAGCGTGGAGCACAACGACACAGGACCCTGAGATCATGACCTGAGCCGAAATCAAGAGTTGGATGCTTAACCAACTGAACTACCCAGGCACCCTTTAAATGCCACTTTATTTATTTATTTTTTAAAGATTTTATTTATTTATTTGACAGAGAGAGAGATAGCGGGAGAGGGAACACAAGCAGGGGGAGTGGGAGAGGGAGAAGCAGGCTTCCTGCTGAGCAAGGAGCCAGAAGTGGGATTTGATCCCAGGACCGGGATCATGACCTGAGCCAAAGGCAGACGCTTAACCATCTGAGCCACCCAGGCGCCCCTAAATGCCACTTTAAATTATACCTCTTAATTCTTTGTAACATGCTTAAATGTAAGCTATGATATACTAGACAGAAGTCAGTTTTCTCTCTTAAAGGATAATGTGAGCCCTACATTAAAATATGACATCAGCGTAGCAGACATAAATCATAACTATTACTTTTTATAATTATTTATATTCTATTTTCTGTAGCATCTGAACAAAAGTATTGTGTTTCCAGGTTTAATTTATGTAATTGGGGGCATCAGCAATGAAGGAATAGAGCTTCGTTCTTTTGAAGTATATGATCCACTTTCTAAGCGTTGGTCTCCACTTCCTCCAATGGGAACCAGGAGAGCATATCTTGGTGTGGCTGCACTCAATGACTGTATCTATTCTGTTGGAGGGTGGAATGAGACACAAGATGCTCTTCATACTGTAGAAAAATATTCCTTCGAAGAGGTAGGTTGGATGATTTCAAATGCTTAATATGCTATTATTCTTTTAATGCCTATAAGATCTGTAGTGATGTGCATTCTTTTATTCATGATATTAATCATTTGTAGGGTTTTTTTTTTCTTTTCAGAGCACCAACTTTGGTGTCATAGGTTTTTTTCTATGGATTGCCCATCTTCTGTTTCACTGATTTCTGTTTCTGTCTTTTTTCTTATTTCTATTTGTTTTTTGTTTAATTTGTACTTTTTTCTAAATTCTTAAAGTAGAAGCTTAAATTATTATTTATTTATTTATTTATTTATTTGAAGATTTTATTTATTTGACAGAGAGAGACACAGCGAGAGAGGGAACACAAGCAGGGGGAGTGGGAGAGGGAGAAGCAGGCTTCCCGCGGAGCAGGGAGCCCGATGCGGGGCTTGATCCCAGGACGCTGGGATCATGACCTGAGCCAAAGGCAGACGCTTAACGACTGAGTTACCCAGGCGCCCCTTAAATGATTGATTTTAGACCTTTCTTTTTTTATAATGTAAATATTTAAAAGTATAAATTATTTTCAAGCACTGCTTTTTTTTTTTTTTAAAGATTTTGTTTATTTATTTGACAGAGACACAGCGAGAGAGGGAATACAAGCAGGGGGAGGGGGAGAGGGAGAGGGAGAAGCAGGCTTCCCGCGGAGCAGGGAGCCCGATGCGGCGCTGAATCCCAGGACCCTGGGATCATGACCTGAACCCAAGGCAGAGGCCTAACGACTGAGCCACCCAGGCGCCACCTTTCAGCACTGCTTTAAGTGCATCCCCCACATTTTGATATGTTGTATTTTATTTATTTATTTATTTGGTTATATTTTAATTAGCATTTATCTTGAAATATCTTCTAATTTCCCTGGTAATTTCTTTTTTGAGCAGTGAGTTGTTAGAAGTATGTTATTTAATTTCCAAATATTTGGGATTTTCCAGATCTTTGTATTACTTATTTCTAATTTAATTCCACTGTGATCAGAGAGCATACTTTGTATGATTTCTGTCTTGGTAAATGGTTCCATGTCTGCCTAAAAGGAATTTGTATTCTGCTGTTGTTGAGTGTAGTAGTTTATAAATGTCAGTTAGGTCAAATTGGTTAGTGTTGTTCAAGTCTTCCCTAGTCTTTTTAACTTGTGCAATTGTTTTGTCAATTATTAAGAAAGAAGGGTTGAAATCTTCAAGTGTAATTACGGATTTGTCTGTTTCTCCTTCCATTTTTGTCAGGTTTTACCTCAGAAATGTGGGAGCCAAGGGCAGCCTGCCCCAACATGTGCCACTTTGGCATCTTGATTATTTTATTATTTTATTAAAGATTTATTTATTTGAGAAAAAGAACTTGAGCAGGGGGAGGGACAGTGGGAGAGGGAGAGAAGCCGACTCCCCTCTGAGCCAGGAGCCTGCCACAGGGCTCAATCGCAGGAACCTGAGATCATGACCCAAGCTGAAACCAAGAGTCAGATGCTTAACTGACTGAGCCACCCATGCGCCCTTGGCATATTGATTATTTTAAATAAAAGTTACTTAAGAGACAGGCTATGCAAGAAGGACTTTCTGACCCTCCTCTGTCCCCCTAAAAGCAGGAAATAAATCTCTTATTTGAAAGGTACTCTCCTTGTACCAGGAGGTTTAAAAAGGCATCTGTATCACCCAGATGGGAAATTTAGAGCCAAGAAGAATGTATAAACAACCCTTGTTACTTTTTTACTAATTTATTATCAGAGCCCAAATTCTCTTTAGAATTCCTTACTAATTAAAGCTCCTAAAGTTAATTTTACTTTTAATTTTACTTTGTCCTGTCAGTTCCCCACAGATTTATTGTCTCTGTATAAAAACCACCGTGGTCACTTCTTTAGGTCTCAATTACATTATTGGGCCTCTGTGTGCAAGTAATAAAACTTTTTTTTCTCTTGTTAATCTGTCTGATGTAAATTTAATTCTTAGTCCAGCTGGAAGGCCTTAAGAGTAAAGGAAGAATTTTTCCTTCCCTGCGCATATTTTGAATCTCTGTTATTAAGTGTGTACAGGTTAAGATTATTGTCTTCTTGATGAATTTGGTCCTTTTCATAGTCATGGAATACTTGTCTTTATCTTTGGTAATATTCTTTGTTCCTAAGTCTATTTTGTCTGATATTAATATAACCACTGATGTAGCCAAGCTATCTTTTGATTATTATTTGCCTGGTACATCTTTTTCTTCCCTTTCACTTTAAATCTATCTACATCTTTATAAGCTGCATCTCTTGTAAGATAACATACAGTTGTAGTCTCTTTTTTTATCCAGTTTGACAATCTCCAACTTTCAAATGGAGTCTTTAGAGTTTTTACTATTTATATGTAATGTAATTACAGATATGGTTGGTTTTTAGACTCCTGTTTTGCAGTTTTTCTATTTGTACAATTCATTCTTTGATCATTTTTCCCCTCTTTTCTGTCTTTATGTTGATTGTTTTAGTATTCCATTTTATCTCTTTTATTATCCAATTAACTATAACACTTCACCTTTTAGTGGTTACTGTAGGGTTTACATTATGTATTATATACATTTATGCTATACGTATTACTGTATCAAGGTGACCTTCGAATAATATCATATTACTTCACTTTCTTGTTCTTTTTCTTTTTTTAATTTTAAACCATATTTATTTATTTATTTATTTTTAGCTCTCTTTTTTTTAAGTTTTAAGATTATTTATTTATTTATTAGAGAGAGTGAGTGAGAAAGAGAGTACAAGCAGGGGGAGTGGCAGAGGGAGAAGCAGGCTCCCCAGTGAGTAGGGAGCCTGATGCAGGGCTTGATCTCAGGACCTGGGATCATGGCCTGAGCCGAAGGCAAACGCTCAACGACTGAGCCACCCAAGCGCCCCTAAAATAAAATTTTAATGTTCAAGTCTTTTATAATTATGCCTATATTAATCATTCCTAATTCCTAGTTCTTTTTTTTTTTAAGATTTTATTTTTATTTATTTATTTGTCAGAGACAACAAGAGAGTGCACAAGCAGGGAGAGCAGCAAACAGAGGGAGAAGCAGGCTCCCCGCTGAGCAGGGAGCCCGATGCAGGACTCGAACCCAGAACCCCGGGAGCTGAAGGCAGATGCTTAACCAACTGAGCCACCCAGGCGTCCGAATCATTCCCAGTTCTATTCTTTTGTGTAGAACTAAGTTTCTGTCTCATAACATTTTCTCTTAGCATGAAGAACTTCCTTTAGTATTTTTTTTAAGTGCTGGTCTGCTGGCATTTATTCTCTTAGTGTTCATTTTCTTTCTTTTTTTTTTTTTTAATATTTTATTTATTTGTCAGAGAGAGAGAGAGACAGAGAACATAAGCAGGGGGAGCAGCAGAGGGAGAAGCAGACTACCCGCTGAGCAGGGAGCCTGATGCAGGACTCGATCCCAGGACCCTGGGATCATGACCTGAGCTGAAGGCAGAAGCTTAACCAACTGAGCCACCCAGGCATCCCTTATTGCACTATTTCTGATGGGAAGTCAGTAGTCATTCTTATCCTTGTTCCCTTGTATGTAATGTGTCTTTTTTCCTTTGGAGGCTTTTACAGTTTTCTCTTTATCATGGGTTTCCAGTAATTTGATTATGGTGTGTCTTTTTGGAGTTTTGTGTTTAACCTGTTTAGAATTCATTGAACTCCTTGAATCTGTGGGATTATAGCTTCCATCAGAGTAAATGTTTTCAGCCATATTTCCTCAGATATTCTCCTGCTCTTTTTCTGAGACTCCAATAACATGCATGTAAGACCACTTTAATATTGTCCCACAGGGCACTGAGGCTCTGTTAATTTTTTTTCTCTCTGTGCTTCAGTTCATTTTTGTTTTACAGCTTCATTGAGATATACTTAATAAAAATTGTGTAGATTTAAGGTATATAATGTGATGTTTTGATATATATTGTGAAATAATTACCAAATCAAGCTAATTAACATATTCATCACCTTATAGTTTCCTTTTCCTTTTTTTCCGATTTAACTGAAGTCTTTATTAGCCATTCTAATTTTTAAAAAAAATTCCAGTGTAGTTAAACATACAGTATTGTATTAGTTTCAGATTCTCTTTTCCTTTTTTCGTGTGTGGTGAGAGTTGCTTTCTTACCAAATTTCAGGTATACGATATAGTATTATGAATTATAGTTACCGTGTTGTATATTAGATCTCTAGAACTTACTCATCCTGCCAAACTGAAATTCTGTTCACTGTGCTTCAATTTGGATGGTTTCTCTTGCTGTGTTTTCAAGTTCATTAATCAACATTGTCTTACTTCTAGTTTGCAGTGTCTAATTACATTTAGGGAATTTTTCGCTTCAGATATTATATTTTTTAGCTCTAAAAGATCTTTTTTGGTTGTTGTTTTTAATATCTTCCATTTCTCTCCTCATCATGTTCATGTTTTCCTTTAGATCCTTGAACATATTTATAATATCTGTTTTTAAGTCCTTGTCTGCTGATTTCATTATCACCATCACTTTTGGACCTGTATCTGTTGAACTTTTTCTTCCTGTTTGAGTCACCTTCTTCCTGCTTTTCCACATTTCTAGTAACTTCTTTTTTTTTTTTTTTTTTAAGATTTTATTTATCTGAGACAGAGAGAACGAGAGAGACAGAGAGCACATGAGAGGGGGGAGGGTCAGAGGGAGAAGCAGGCTCCTCGCCGAGCAGGGAGCCCGATGCGGTACTCGATCCCGGGACTCCAGGATCATGACCTGAGCCGAAGGCAGTCGCTTAACCAACTGAGCCACCCAGGTGCCCCTCTAGTAACTTCTGATTGGATGGTGGACACTGTGAATGTTATTTTGCTGAGTGTTTGGATTTTATTTTCTTCTTTTAGGAAGTATTGAGTTTACTTTTGGTAAGCAGCTAAATTATTTGCAAATCAGACTGATTCTTTTGAGACATATTCTTAAGCTTTGTAGGGAAGAGTAGTAGAGAGTAGTCTTTCCTTTAGGTCTCCTACTAAATAAAGAATGACCCTTCTTGAGTCTCTACTGAATGTCCTAGCTGTTCAGCAAGGTGTCTTTATTTTGGCTAGTCAAAACTAGAATGTCATCCAGCTCTGCGTGAGCTCTGGGTATTGTTCAGCTTACAACTCCTATAATGGAAAACAGTTTCTCTAGGCACAATACTTTTGACACCAAATGTGTGGGTTTTCCATACTGAGCTGTTTTCCAGTTCTCTATGGTCACTAGTCAATTCATTTCTGACCCTAACAACCCCACAGGTTAAGAGCTCAGTTTCTCTCTTTTTTAAAAAAAATATTTATTTATTTGACAGAGAGAGAGAGAGACAGTGAGAGAGGGAACACAAGCAGGGGGAGTGGAAGAGGGAGAAGCAGGCTCCTGGCTGAGCAGGGAGCCTGATGCGGGGCTGGGATCATGACTTGAGCTGAAGGCAGACGCTTAACGACTGAGCCACCCAGGCGCCCCAGGAGCTCAGTTTAAAAAGATTGCCCCTCACTTTACATACCAGTTTCAAGTAGTGGGTCCTCAGGTTGACCACTGACTTATTTACACTTCTCTGACTTGGCTACAAATTGGGGGTTCCCATAATCCTTTCCTCAGGTTCAATAATTTGTTCTAATGGCTTACAGAACTCAGGGAAACACTGATGTACTATTAGTGGTCTATTATAAAGGATACAAATGGATAACCAGATAAAGAAGTATGTAGAGCAGGGTCCAGAAAGGTCTTGAATGTAGGAGTCTCTGTAGAATTTGGGGTGTGACACCCTCCTGACACATGGATGTGTTCACCAACTTGGAAGCTCTCTGAACACCATAGTATAGAGATTTTATGGAGGCTTCAACATGTAGGCATAATTGAGTATTAATTCAACCCCCAACCCTTCTCCCCTCCCCAAATGATAGGGGGTGGGGCTAAAAGTTCCAAGCTTCTAATTCTGGCTTGGTCTTTCTGGTAACCAGCCCCCATTTCTGAAGCTATTTAAGGAGTCCACCAAGAGTTGCCTCATTAGGACAAAAGACACTTCTATCATCCAGGGAATTCCTAGGGATTTAGGAGTTCTGTGTCAGGAACTGGGGCCAGAGGCCAAATGTATACTTCTTGTTATATCCTCCTATGAGTTGTTCTTTGCCTGTTTCTCATGGAGTTTTACTTTATGCATTGCACAGATTAGTGGCATTCAGCTAAAGACACAAGGGGATCTCTGGCAGTCTTGCTTGCAAATCTTGGCTGCTTCAACCTCTCTAAACTCTGATCTCTGTCTCCTAAATCAGATTACTGTCATGCTGTGCTTGGGAATTCCCTTCCCTGTGGTGTTCAGAAAGCCCCACCAGACAGAAAGCCTAGACAACCATGAAGCTCACCTTCTTTGTTTCTATTTCTGAGTGATCATAGTTTTTCACCGTTGTCTGGGAACTTTTGTTTCTTAGGTTTTGTCTACTTTTCTAGGTCTTTATGGCAGAAGGACAGCTTTGGTAACAATTATTCTATTGTAGCTGTAAGTGGAAATCCTTCCTATGTCATTTTGACATGCTACCATCATTCATTGAGCATGTCTTTACTTTCTAGCATAATAAAATATTTCAAGCTCATTTTTTACTTTCTCTGCTCTAGCCCTGAAATCAGCCATTTCTCTAAGAAGCTCCACTTCCTCCTAGTGAAGGATAGTATTTAGAAACCAAGGTCTAGGCACTCAGCCTACCCATGGCTACTGGAATATTGCTGCTTCTAGGCACTCTCAGTAAACAGAGCTAGGAATACTTGTACCTATATACATGTATGTATTCACACACATATTCATTTGTAAGTATTTCTTAACATTGTAAGTCTTATATGTTATAAAACCACGAGTTTATAATGATAACTCAAATTCCAGTGCAGTATCTCAGATTCTTTCAGGCCTTCCCCATTTCCATGTTTGTAAATACTTTCTCCGTTAGTTAAAAACTTGGCTCCTAGTATTCTCCCTATAGTTCACCCTTGAACAACATGTTTTGAACTGTGTGGGTCCACTTATACATGGATTTTTTTTCAATAAATACAGTATAGCACTGTAAATGTATCTTCTCTTCCTTATGATTTTCTTAATAACATTTTCTTTTCTGTAGCTTACTTTATTGTAAGAATATAGTACATAATACATACACAAAATATGTGTTAATTGACTATGTTATAGGTAAGGCTTTTGGTCAACAATGGGATATTAATGGAGTGCCTGGGTGACTCATTCAGGTATGCATCCAACTCTTGATTTTGGTTCAGGTCATGATCTCCAGGGTGTGAGATTGAGCCCCATATCAGGCTCCACACTGGGTGTGGAGCCTGCTTAAGATTCTCTCTCTCCCTCTGCCCTTCTCTCCCTTTCTCCCCGTCTCTAAAAAAAAAAAAAGCAAACAAAACAAAAAAATCCCAGTAGGCTATTAGTAGTCAAGTTTTTGGGGAGTCAAAAGTTTTACATGGATTTTCTTTTTTTTGGTTTATTTTTAAATTTATTTTTATTTAAATTCAATTAACATACAATGTATTATTGGTTTCAAAGGTAGAGATCAGTGATTCATCAGTCTTATATAATACCCAGTGCCCATTATATCACATGCCCTCCTTAATGTCCATCACCCAGTTACCCAATCCTGTACCCATCTCCCTTCCAGCAACCCTCAGTTTGTTTCCTATGCTTAAGAGTCTCTTATGGTTTGTCTCCCTCTCTAATTTCATCTTGTACCACATCTTCTTCTTCTTCTTTTTTTTTTTTAGGATTAAACCAGCTATAGGTATTTTTGTGAATATCTCGGTCTTTTAAAATATGAGCATTTTGGGGGCACCTGGGTGGCTCAGTTAAGTGTCTGACTCTTGATTTCAGCTCAGGTCATGATATCAGGGTCATGAGATCTAGCCCTGTGTTGGGCAGCGTGCTGGGCGTGGATCCTGCTTGGGATTCTCTCTCTCCCTCTGCCCCTCCCCCTGCTCGTGTGCGCTCTCTCTCTCCAAATAAATAAATAAATAAAATATGAGTTTTTTCAGCTGTGCCAACTTGTCATAGATTGTGTAATTTCAGATTTCCTTTAAGAAATGTCTGTTCATGTCTTCTACCCATTTTTTAATTGGGGTGATGATAAATTATGATTATTTTGGTATTGTAACAGTCAGTACTTTATGTATTTTGGATACCAACCCTTTTATCAGATATGTCATTTGCAAATATCTTCTCCTGTTCAGTAGGTTATCTTTTAGTTTTGTTGATTGTTTTCTTTGCTGTGCAGAAAGCTTTTTATTTTGATGTAATCCCAAGTTTATTTTTGCTTTTATTTTTTTCTTGCCTCAGGAGACATATCTAGAAAAATGTTGCTACAGCCAATGTCAGAGAAATTGCTGCCTGTACTCTCTTCTAGGATTTTTATGATATCAGGTCTCACATTTAGATCCTTATCCATTTTTAGCTTATTTTTGTATATGGTGTAAGAAAGTGGTCCAGTTTCATTCTTTTGCATGTAGCTGTCCAGTTTTCCCAACACCGTTTGTGGAAATATTCTTGTTTTATAAAATAACCTCTTAACCTGGAAAGATCATTCTTACAAAAATAGGTTTCCAACTCCTGGTCTATACTACCTTTCTGAAAATATGTTTCGCAAATTATTGATTCCACTGGATGGTCTTTGAAAAAAAGGATTCCATGGTCAGTAACTTGGCAAGTGTGATAGCATATCATTCTCTTGGAGATTTATAAGGGTCATTAGCATATTAAAGCCTTTTAAAAGCCCTTCTGTGTATAAGCTTTTTTCTCCTTGGAGCTTTGTGGGTTTGTGTTGTTGCATTACCTATGTGTATTCCATAGAAGAGTTTCACAGAATGCCTTCCTATATAGGTTTTCTAGATTATCTCCTGATCATGATTTATAGTTAATCACAGACATGTTTTTCAATTGTTTTCCTCTAAATTTGCTACTTTGTCTATACCTGCTCAAACATTCCCTTGAAAATGTCCTATATATATTTATATGACTGGACTCTCAGTTTGAAATTTAAATATGTAAAAAGAGCTAGAGTATTTAATTTCTCAGCAGTTTTCTCTATTGTCATTTTATGATTCTGCTAACTTTTTTTTTTTCCCCCCTCTTAACCAGGAAAAGTGGGTTGAAGTTGCCTCAATGAAAGTGCCTAGAGCAGGCATGTGTGTTGTGGCAGTCAATGGGCTTCTGTATGTTTCTGGAGGTCGATCTTCCAGCCATGATTTCTTGGCTCCAGGTACCTTGGACTCAGTTGAAGTTTATAACCCTCATTCAGATACATGGACAGAAATTGGTAACATGATCACCAGTCGTTGTGAAGGAGGTGTTGCTGTACTATGAAATATAAAGCATAAGGGAGCACAAGAAACATTTTGAAAATACAGGATCTGACTCTGCAAATCACACATGTATTTGGTGATAGGATCCTCTGATTCTATTGAGTTTTCCATGTATTTGGTAGATAAATGACTAAAGAATGATTTTTCTAAGAATTTGTGTAGGGAGAGATATGGAATATATCCTAAATTAATAAAGAACTCACACAAATTTGCCAAGCTTACCAATAGGAATGCTGTTTATGCTCTGGAATTCTCCTCTTGGGGGTAGAGTCCTATTTGTAAAAATGATTTGCTAGAAGCTTCTTGGCAAATAGCCCCATTAGCTGCTTCTCCAGTGTCAGCCAAGCTGTAACACGACCCTTATGTGATGTAAGAATATCAATGAGACAGTTTAAAGATGTCTGTACATTCATGATTCAGTCTACGGCACAATTTTCCATGGCCACAGTTGAACCTACAGAGAAAGCCAGTGAAACAACTCCCTACTTTTATTTGTTGCCAGGAGTTTTCACTAGCCCCGAACTTTTTATTGGCAGCAGGTACACTGGGAGGGACATGTGGGAAATATCTAGCTATCTCTATAGATGTTTATATAGATAGATAAGTTTTTGCCTGTTAACAGGATTAAAAAAGCTTTTGCTCTCTTACATTTTTTGTCTTAATGCTGAAAATGCAAGTGAGGAATTACTGGAGGTTCTTAGTGACAGTCCTTTAGTGCAATTGGATGATACAATGGATGACAGAGCCCAGTGAGAGATATGTACCTCTTAAGTTTCTTTCCTATTTTCTTTTTTTTTTTTTTTTTAAGATTTTTTATTTATTTATCTGAGAGAGAGAATGGGAGACAGAGAGCATGAGAGGGGGAGGATCAGAGGGAGAAG